TTTTAGTAATAGGCATGCAAGTAGAGCATACCTTTAGTAAATTTCTACATGTAAATTTATAAAAGCTACCCCCTTTAGGGCTGCGCGTCTGTATGGTCGAATCGGGCTCTTGCAATGAAGAAGGTTTCACGTGCTCTCCGAATTTCGGTCCTCAATGAGACGGAGATTAGTTTCGACATCTGTCACTTCAACAGCTGTTCCTCTGGCTTCTATTGAGTAAGTATTCCGGCAATTTATCTGTTTTTACAAGGCCTAGATCATCTTACCGGTAGTTGATTTATAAGTTTGGGGCACAAACCGCTGCCTATTCGCCTTCAAATCAAAAGTTGCTCAACTTTTCACGGTGCAAGAGAATTCTGATAAGAAGTATTACTTAAACATTAGCTTGTACCATTAGATTATGAATTAATTACTGTATCCTTAGGTCTTCGATCAACGCGAACACGTAGAATTGCTTTCTGCAGATTTGAGTGCACAAAAGAAACATGGAACAGTTTATGGATTGGGATCAGGTATATTTTTACTATTAAATCATAAATTAAGTAGCATAATCTAGACATTTTTATTTAGAACCCTTTGGCACTCTAGGCTTTTCGGTTGGAGAAGGACATGTACTCTATGCGGCCCGAGCAAGTTTTCAAAGCGAGCCAGTTCTTTGATGGCGATATTGAATGGGACAACGAGGAGAAAGTGATCGAAGCAAAATTCGTTGTCTAAAGAGTGTTATTGTTCAACAGTTATTATTTTTAGGGCAGCAAGTACGAACTCATAGGAATCGTGGGAGAAGGATGTTTCGGTGTGATACGACCTCAGCTCTGCATTTGCGATATCACTACGGGATTGGTGACCGTACTTGATCAAGTGCCCAAAAATATCTCCCCATCATTTGTAAGTTTTACATGCCTTGCTGATACCGTTTTGTTTAGGCAATTTGGACACCGAATGACGCAGGGAATTCTTTTCTTTGGCATTGAAGACAAGCCATTCCGCCTGGGAGAATTTTCTGCAATAATCGACGGTTTTTATTTTGCTTTTCTCATTAGCACTCAAGTTTACGTGGCTCGTTGTATTACTATGATCTGGAGTCGGCAAATTTGAGAAGTAATCGGACAACCAGGTATGATTTTTGTCAATATATAGCGCAGAAATCAAATTTTGGGTGTCGCTATTGAACACCCGACTTTCTCTCCGGATCGGAACAACTCTTGTCTTTTGGCAAAGAGGGCCGATGGACCGCATCAAGCAGCGATGAAAATGGTCCCGGTGTAGTTTTACCTATCAAGATGACATTCACTGCCTTATTCAGGTTCCCTTGGCCCTAAGATGGAAGCGATCCGGGAGGAGATTGTTGGCATTGTTAATGAGGCGAGCATTCAAGACAACGAATTTCCCGGACTCTTCTTGATTCAGAAAACACAAAAGCCGGTTTTTCAAAGTAATTAGGCAGTCAAAAAACTGTGATTAATAAAGCTCGATAATCGAATTTAGATAACAAATCATTTTTCTAATATAGGAAATTGCAACACATGAACTTTTAATTTTTAGCCCTGGTGTTGAAGATGGTCGTCGAATCGTTTTTGGTAGTGCATGGCATAGCAAGACAGAGATTCTCATCGTTGATGTTGTGGAGAAGAAGCTGATAAGGCTGGCAAATCTTGGTATAGTGTTAAAATGTACGTCTCATATAGTTTGTTTTAGGAGAGCAAATTCACGGGTCTTGGTCACTACTCGATCGAGATCAGACTTGGTGCTCGCTGTTGCTTCAGCTCCGAATAGACCATATACGACACTTCTCGGCAAGATTCCGCCAAGCGGCTCGGAAAATCAGGTCAGGTTTTGTTTTTCTTAATCTTATAGTATAATTATCTAGACCAGGTGGAATTGTATCTTTGTTCGTGGTGATAGGTGTCCGTTGTATTCAATTAAATCAAGTAATTGCCTTTTCTAGATGACTTGGACTCGCGTCGACGGAATTTCGCCAAGTAACGATTTGCGACGATCGGTGGCCAATGTTTCATGGGAAACTAATCGAGTTTCAGCGAGAAGGCAAATCTTTGAGACCTGACAATAATTTGAGTCTTTTTAGGTCACACTCCGTATCAAGGCATTTTGGTGACGCCAAATGAGGGAACAACTCTTCCATTGGTCGTCTTTCCGCATGGTGGACCACATGGATGCAGTATGGCTATGTGGGGTTTTATTCCTCGCATATATAAATCATAATCCCTGAATGCTAACTCTTAGCCTTTTGCAGGTGGCCTCGACGGGACGTAGGATTGCTTTTGAACTCTGGCTTTGCTGTGCTACAGGTTGGCATCATTTGAGCAAGTTACGTGAATCCCTAAGTTTAGGTCAACTATCATGGCTCGATTGGATTTGGTTGACAAATTTGTGCGATCGCTTCCGGGTCAGTGTGGCGATTTGGAAATCAAGGATGTACAGGTGTGTTTCTTTTCTACAAAAACAACGAGTGATATATTTTAGCATGCTGCTGAGACAGTGCTCAAGACAGAGAAGCGGTTGGATTCGAGTCGTGTTGTAGCTTTTGGAGGTAGCCATGGAGGATTCACAGTTTCGCCTTGATTGGACAATATCCGGTAGTTTGTTTATGATTTTTAATTAACTTCACCTTTTAGAAGTTCTACAAGGCTTGCTGTGCGTTGAATCCCGTGCTGAACATTGCTTCCATGTACGACACAACGGATATCACAGATTGGTGAGTGGTGTTTAATCTGATACTTTTTTCTGTCAAATTTTAAGTTTATCGGGTTCTGAGTTAATTTGCATTTTTTTTCAGGACATGGTATGAGGGAACAGGAAACGAGCCAAGATGGCAAAAGTTGCCAACTGCCGAAGAACGCGATCAAATGCACAGATGCTCACCGATTCAGCACGTAGAAAGGTAGAGTTGCATTTTTTATTCTTCTAGACCATATAATTTTAAAGATTGTTCGAATTTTTAGGTGACGACACCATATCTGTTGCTGATTGGCGAGAAAGATCTGCGAGTAGTGCCACACTATCGCGGATATGTTCGAAATTTGCAGGCACGTGGTGTTCCCTTGCAAGTAAGTATTCAGCTTTATTTTTGTTTAAAAATTTTAGACATCAAAGTTTTGCTAAGTAAACTAGCCACAAAACAAATTTGATTTGTTTCGTACAGGGTTCTCACTTACCCACCATCGAAACATCAACTGGAGGAAGTCGAAGTGGAGGCCGATTTCGCGATCAACATGGTGCGCTGGTTCGAAAAGTATCTTTAAAGTATGCATTGATTTCTGTGATTATATTGCTCTTTTTGTGATGTTTCTCCGGCTAATTGTTTAGTGATTATTGATCTGCTTTATGGCATGGATGATTGATTTGACTTAATTTTTTTCTGTAATCGATAAATTGTATGCATATTGAAAAATTTAGCAAATAAAGAAAAGTAATTAAAAGGGTCTGTCAAAATTAAAAAGGTGGAAATGGCGAGCGTATCTCATTGAATAAATTGATCACATTGGTAATATATTTATCAAAACGTCTAGGGATGGGTACTGTAAGTATTACTGCGAGGATTCCGTTTCACTACACATTCCGGAATAGAAAGTGTTCTAACATTTAGATTTTACAATTATTCAATTGAAGAATCTGAAAGATGTTAGCATTGTTGATTAGATACCATTTTTTTTGGCATATTGTAATGAATAGAGTTTGTGAACCCGTTAATTAAAGGATTTTTAGAAAAAATGCTTACACGTTCTTCTAGAGTTTGTTCATTGTAGAAAAGCGTTTACGAAAAGTTGAACAATTTGGAAAAGTACCGTAATCTCGTAATTTCATAGTCGTAGTCGATTTGATGAGTTGAATGAGATCAAAATCAAATTAAACGGATCCAATAGAGGATTACGATAGGTTTCTAATTGCCCACCTTTTAGAAATCGATTAGAAAACCTTTTACCCACTCATTCATACCGTCTTTTTCTCTCTTACACATTTTAAACTAGAGTTAAAAACTTTAGTCCCATAAAATCGGGATCACACGTTTAGGATTTGAGCACAAAGAAATCCTTTCTTTAGAAAGCTTTCAACGAAAAAACCCTGAGCGATAATCGTGGTGGTGAATGGTGGAGATGGAGTGGAGATAATGGGGCTCACCCCTTTCTGGTATCTCCTCCCCCATCCACTCAGCAGTCCAGCAATACCTACAAATTGCTCCCATACTAGATCCAGCTTCTTTTTTGAGTTAACCACATTGCAATTATGACGTCTTAATACAGCTCCTTACTCCTTATTTTACATTTTACTCCTTATTGATAGAGCTTAAAGTTTCGGAATCAAAAACTCTGAGTGCTTTTTCTGTGATTGCTTTTCTTAGAAGCTGAGAGTGAGATTTGCTGGCTCGAAGCTGGCTCTATTTAGCTTGAAATTTGTTTTAATTCGTTTCAATTAGCAAAAAGACTTAGATTTGCAGCAATTCACTTCTGAAATGAATGCATAAAGTGGTTTTTGATGAGTAAAAAAGCTTTATAGTACAGTCGAACCTCTCTATAACGTAACTCACGGGACGGCTATAGCTTACGTTATATAGAGGTTTACGTTATATAGAGTGCCGTTTTATATAGCTTAACGTCGGCCGGGACCGGCCACGCCTTACGTTATAGAGAGGTTTACGTTATATCGAGGTTCGTTATAGAGAGGTTCGACTGTACTTCATTACTTCATTAATAGTTAATGTACAATAAATGTTATTCACAAGGGAAGATCAATCAAGTGTGGGAAGACAATCGAGTGTGTCCCAATCGAGTGTGGTGGTGAAATGACATCGGCTATAGATCATTCGATGCAGAATTTCACCCTGATTCCGAATTTGCTTTCCGTTTTTGGAATGCAGCACCCTGACATTTCACCAGATCAATTACCTCTAGAAAAAAGAAAACAAAGTTAAACTGCGGCTTGAACCCGAGCCTTGAACCCGAGCCCTCGTATTCTAGTCGACTACCACTCGACCACTGCTGCTTTCCCTCGGTCACTGCTGCTTTCCAAACTCTTCGGGAAAACTGCTTGTAAACTCGAGGGATGATTTTCTATTTTCTGCCTATTTTCCTATTTTCCTATTTTCTGCGATTCCATACAAAACTTTGCACGCGTAAAACTTTTGACAGAGTGCTCGATAGCAGAAATGAAAAGCAGATTCGGAATCAGCGTAAAATTCTGCGTCGAATGATCTATAGCTGGATGTCATTTGGGCAACTTATCCAGTTGACCATGCCTTGTCAGTTAAAAATTTGTCTTGCTCTTGCTTTGCTTTTGCTCTTGTCTACCTTACAATCAGAAATTTATCTCTTGTTGCGGCAATTATGGCTCACCCTTTATAGTAGATTATTTAATTTCCATTTCATTTCATTTTATTGAGACTAGGGAAGTCTATGCAAAAAATTGAGTCCAAAGCCTCTCGCTTTGGACTTCCATTTCGCTTTGGAATCATTTAGCTTTGGACTTCCATTTCGCTTTGGAATCATTTAGCTTTGGACTTCCATTTCGCTTTGGAATCCAACTCGAAAAAAACCCATCACCCAGCCATTTCTCAACGAACCAAAAAGCAAAACCCCCCAATGAATGGCTGCTTTTTGGTCTAAATAGCTGAAAGATTGGTGTTTTGTAGATTCTTCTTAGCCAATTATCCTCCTGGCTTGGTTGTTAATTGGTAGTTTCGTGGATCCGGGCCCTAGAGCTCATCTTACAGAAGGCTTACATTGGACTGGTTCCAGCTAGTTTTAGCTTGAAAACTTGAGCTTACCCAGTGCTTGGCTGACTTGTCCAGTGCTTAACTGTCTTACCCTCCTCCTAGGCAATTTTGAATCCAACTCGAAAAAAACCCATCACCCAGCCATTTCTCAACGAACCCAAAAGCAAAACCCCCAATGAATGGCTGTTTTTTTGGTCTAAATAGCTGAAAAGATTGGTGTTTTGTAGATTCTTCTTAGCCAATTATCCTCCTCGGGGCAATCTCGGGGCCCATTCGTCAGTATCCCATTTCCCATCGCGCAGATACATCGGCTCTGAATGGATCTCTTTCTCCTCTTTTTTGGCTCTCGCCCACCTTTGCCAAATTTTCTGCCAATAGATCTCTATCTTTTCTTTTTTTTTTTCTGGGGCTATTCCGAGGCACACATACGATGAATTATATAAGAAGAAAGCTCATCAAGAACCCCGGCTTTGGGGGTTTTCCCAAAGGTTTTTGACTGGAGTCGGGCATTTTTTTTTTCAATTCCAATCTTGTTTTGGGTGTTATGTTGATAGTTTTTCAAATCAATGAGGCTTAAAGTTTCTTGAGAATTGTTTAATGGAAAGGTTTGAGCTTCAAAAGCTAGAGTTTATTCAAATGAAAGCTATACTTTTGAAGAAGTTGCCATTTCCAGTAAACGTGAAAATTTCAATCTTGTATTTGAGGTTGTACTATTGTACTTTCTACTGTGCTATTGTACTTTCTATTGTACTATTGTACCTTCTATTGCACTATTGTACCTTCTATTGTACTATTGTACCTTCTATTGTACTATTGTACTTTCTATTGTACTATTGTACCTTCTATTGCACTATTGTACCTTCTATTGTACTATTGTACTTTCTATTGTACTATTGTACCTTCTATTGCACTATTGTACCTTCTATTGTACTATTGTACTTTCTATTGTACTATTGTACCTTCTATTGCACTATTGTACCTTCTATTGTGCTATTGTACTTTCTATTGTACTATTGTATCCCTGAAAAAGACACTTTTCTAAAATGTAAGAAAACTAAATAACTAGATAACTAAATAACTAGATAACTAGTTAACTAGATAACTAGATAACTAAATAACTAAATAACTAAATAACTAGATACATTCTTGAAAAAGCTTTATTTTTTCAAGGTTTTAAAGCTCAGATCTCTTATTTGGAGCTCAATTTATGCTCAGATCATAAAATTTTCCTTTCGAAGCAAAGTCAATTCAGTCAATCGATTCAAATATTAAGATTGGCAAGCGTTCTTAATAATTCCTAAAGAATGCTGCTGTAGCTAGGCTAGATTTGCGTGCGTTCAATCTTTTGACGGAGTGGCCTAAATTAGCAATAAATACTGATGATGATTTTGACGCTTGACTAGCTGAACGAGGACTTTTCTGGGGAGATCAACGCAATTTTCCCAACACTGACATGAAGCTAAAAGTATATGCTAACGGCAACGATTATTGTTTCTTCTTCTCATCTACCGTATTCTCTCTAATATTAGTGCACCTTGAGCGTCGCCTAAATTCCTCAAAATCTCGAGAACCGCTTATCTAGCTTATCTAGCTACCAGAACCTATCGATGTGGGGTCGGAAAATGTAGCTGACGATGAGATCTAGTGGGGGATTTGAGTGTTGAGCTTCTGGGAAGACTTGGAAACCGTAAAATAGTCATCAACTCGGCTCGACCAGGTGCACTACTATTAGAGAGAATACAGTAAGCGTACTGTACTTTTTGCTCTAAAAATGGATTATGTTTCGAGTTTTTATAAGGAAAAAGCACAGTACGCCTAGCTATTCTTAAATCCTATCGAGAAAACGGTCATTTTCGAGTGTCTTAGTACCATTAAACAATTTCTAACTGAAATCCACCAATCAGTTTCTGTCTCTTTGTCTCTGTCCCTTTGTGAAGTCTTTTTTTTTCCATCCACTTATTAGTTATTCCCGTATTCTGCATTTTTCATCACTGCCCAACTAGAAAGTTGGGGAAATGACGAGACAGGGAATTAATGAAATCAATTTTTGTGCCACATTTTCAGCAAAAAACTCTGAGATCAATTAAATTTATTTCAATTCAATCGTTAAACGAATGACTATCGTGATTTTTTTTGAGCCTTTGAATTGAGGATTTTTGAGAGAAAACCGATAAGACGAGTTTTTTCTTCGTCATTCACCGGAAAATGATTCCCTCGAAAAATTTTGAACTTA